CCGATGTGATATCGTGATATGGTGTTGATCTGCGCTAGACAGTCTCAAGACAAAGCGACGAGGATCAACCCGTAACGGCCGATGAAGAAAAAGCCCACATAACAAGACTTCCTCCAACTACCACCACATACATCCCGGCATTAATGTGCCGTGGGATTAGCCTACCTCTAATCCCTATCACAAGACTTCCTCCAGCCTACGACAAGACACACAGAACTACAAAATATGCCCGGGGCTGCTCTACTTCACAAACTACCATGCTCATGTCCACGAAGGTTTCAACGGAATATCCAATAGATGAAAACAAGCACTCCGGACAAGATTTATAGACCAAAGGAGCGGCGCACATGGACCAGGAGTACTTTCGACAAAGAACACATGTGAAAGTACTGGGACTCAATAATGGGACGACTCAAAGTAGAGGAAAATAAAGATTAAGACGGGCATATTCGGAAGAATATACCATCACAAGACAACCCGTGAACCAAAGGCATTTACACTCAACCACCACCATACAACTACATCTCGACAAAGAGAGACTATCAAAGAATACGCTTAAGACCTCGATCCGAAGTTCTCCCCGAACGAAACAACACGGATATATCGCCGGGGCTCGGCCAAAGATCATAGCTTAATCAACACTAAGCTAGGGAATTCGCCCTCATTTCAACTACTCCCGGGGCTCGGAACCAAAGACAAAAGACAAAAAGTACAAGAAACTCAAGACTACAACGACGATTTAGATCAAGATTTCTTCAACCGACTTCTTTTCCAAAAGAAAAGAACTCGGAGAAAGCACGAGGTCATGGGATACATAGCCCTGCAATTTTTGAAGACAGAATGGATTCTCCAACTTTTGCAAGCAAAAAGCAAGAGGCTCGGGGTTACGACTCGGTGAGTGCAATTTTATGAAAAATTGCACCCACCAAAAAGAACCGGACATAGGCTCGGAGAGGTCGCACGCTTAAACTACTACTCGGATGATGGTTTAATCCAAGACTAAAGAACCGCTTCGGAAAGATACCACGAAACTACTCGGATGATGGTTTAATCCAAGACTAAAGGACCGCTCGGAAAGATACCACAGAAACTACTCGGATGGTGGTTTAATCCAAGACTAAAGGACCCGCTCGAAATATACCACAAAACTACTTGATGATGACAAAATTCAAGTCTCTGGGGACTACTTCAGAGCACAAATTTTCAAACAAACATATAAGGATCAAGACCTCCAACTTTTTGTTCCAAATAGCAAGAGGCTCGGGTTTACACTCGGTGAGTGCACTTTTTCTTTGACGTCACCAAAAAAGACTTCCTCAACGCAGACCACTTCAAGACATTACGATAAAAAGAACCCGGAACGAGCCATATTCGAGTTCTTTTTGACAAAACTTCAGCGAACAATCAGAGCAACTTCAAGAAAAGATCCTCCAGCTCCTTGTTCCAAATAGCAAGAGGCTCGGGGGCTACAACTAGATGGATGTACTTTTTATTCACAAAACACTCACCACTCGAAGGTTCCAAGAAGCGCTATAAGGTTTCACTCCAGAAAGCACTCGGATAACATTTTGTTCCTACTTAACAAGACCTAAAGGAGCAAAGCGAGACTTTCAGAGCTCAACCATGAAGTGCTCGGGGGCTTATCGATGTGGGACCTACAGGATACCCCGCAAGAGAGATAAAAGATCTAGTTCAACTAGGATTCTTCCCATGTAATCTTAAATAGAAGAACTATTAAGTAATCCTACTAGGAAATCTCATTGTAAACCGACTAGGACTCTGGCCTTCTGATAATATAAAGGAGGGCAGGGCTCCTGAAAGGGAGGACGACAATTGTACAACATAACACTTTATAATCAATCCAACGCAAAAGGCAAACGCCGACTGGACGTAGGGTCGTTACTCGATCTACGATCGAGGGCCTGAACCAGGATAAATCGACTGTCTCTTGCGTTTACCATCGAGTTCAGCATACGCCGAAGCCTGAACGATACTGCCACGGTACCCCTGTGGCAGGCTATCGGTGGTAAAACATCGACACTTGTTTCAATTTGTTTCTTCTTTCTCTGGCTTGCCTCTGATTCTCGGTCTCACCATCGTAGCCCTGAGCAAAGGGTGATATGTTGGATTCTGATTCATCCGATGACCTGACGTCGGGTGCTTCCGGAGGGACCAATGGTGATCGAGGACAGCGAACCATGAATACTTCCCGTGCGTGAACTGTCCTGTTATCGGTGTTGGTTTCCATACTATCGGAGTTGCTGATAACTTTGGTAGAGGCTTCGAGTTCGCAGATCGAGTCTCCTTCTTGGTAGGGTAGAATTGCCGTTGTCGTTGTGCTGACCAGTTGGGTACTGCTATCTTCAGGAATAGAACCTAGACAGTGGATGATGCAGTCTTGAGATGTTATAGTTAGTACAAGACTTTCCTCAGCTCCTTTCAGTGGCATCCTAAGCACCGGATCGAGGGATCCTTCGAGCTGTGCCTGATAAGACTTTGCCATGTTGTGGAGTCCGAACGGAAAAATATCTGACTTCTTGGAAAGACTCTGAGTGTACTCCGAGTTGTATTCTTGATAGGCCAAAGCCGCGTTCTTAAGCCCCATCGGAAAAGAACTCGGTTTCCCGAAAGAACTCGGGTCAGACTCTATCTCGGATGTAGAGCCTGAGTTCGGGTCGGATGCGCAAAGCCGCGAAACCTGAGTTGGATCGGACATCACGAGCCGTGCGAATCTTCCGGTGATTTGATCTGTCGTAGTTGCCGAAATAGAAAAGTCTTCATGGTGATCTGAATCTTCGAGGAGACAGCTTTGGAGCTTGCCATCGTCGCCTGCCTCACAGATCCATGAGCCAAAGATGAAGGTTGATCCCGTCGAGAAGATCATGTTGTCGAGGTCCATCGAGCTCTCGGATGCAAATTCACCGAAAGCCCCTACCTGGCGCGCCAGCTATCGATGTTCGACCACCAATAACCTGCCATGGGGTCCCCGGGGCAGTATGTTCGGGCTTTAGCGTATGCGGAACTCGATGGTTAGCGCAAGAGACAATCGATTTATCCTGGTTTGGACCCTCGATCATGAATCGAGTAACAACCCTACGTCCAGTTGGCATTTGCCTTGCGTTGGATTGATTGTGTAGTGTTGTGTTGTTTCCCAGTCCTCCTCTGCTAGGAACCCCGCCCTCCTTTATATAGTCAGGAGGTCAGAGTCCTAGTAGGTTTACAATGAGAGTTCCTAGTAGGATTACAGAATTATACCACTACTAGGATTACACGAGAAGAAACCTAGTTAGACTAGATCCTCTCTCTTCCTTGCGGAGTATCCCGTGGGTCCCGCATCGACAGTCGCCTCCCGTGTCGCATGCGTGGGGGCGACGCAGGGGCCGTGGGCCCTCTTCAGCCACCATGGAACTCGTCGAGCTATTCCTTGTCTTTGTGCTATCAACAATGGTAATTGGTTTAACACATTGATATCATTATTTGATCCAGCCACCCCAAAAAATGCATGCCATATCCACAAGTCATGTGAGGCAACAGCTTCAAGCATGACGGTCGGCACGCCATGATCACCTCGGGTGTACTGTCCTTTCCATGCTATTGGACAATTTTTCTACTCCCAATGCATGCAGTCAATACTTCCCAACATACCAGGGAACCTACGAGCCTCTCCTACATGAAGCAACCTCTGAATGTCTTCTGCAGTGGGCCTTCTTAGATAGGTTGGCTCAAAACATTCAATAATACCTTTGCAAAAATTCTCCAAAGTCTCAATGATAGTGCTTTTAGCAATTTGTAAATTTTCATCAAACATATCAGGACAAGTTCCATATGCCAACATTCGCAAAGCTGCAGTGCATTTGAGGATAGGTGAAAAGCCAACCTTACCGAAAGCATCCCTCCTTTGACGGAATACTGGAGACCAATCACTAAGTGTTTGCACAATATGCTCAAATAGATGCACAATATGCTCAAATAGATGCTTCCTCATCCTATATCTCCGACGAAACTGGAGATCAGTGTACATTGGGTTTTCTAAAAAATAGTAAGCCCTCAATCGATTTTCAGCATCTTCACGATTCCTTCTAATGTACCTTCAAGAAAACCTTTGTTGTTGATGTCTCTCTTGCTCTTCAATTTGAGACCGAATCTGCTCTTTAATCTGACTAACAATTGGATCGTTGATGTACTCCCAAATCATGTCAAATAGGATAACATCGAAGTTGCTAACTTAAGAACTATCATGCTGGGAGTTTGAATAATGTGTGGACATTTTTGCTTTGATGGGGAAGAGTGGATGGCAATCTGTTGGCAACCTGGTGGAGTAGAATGAATGTGAGGGTCTGGTTGGGAGAAGAGTGGATGGCAATCTGTTGGCAACCTGGTAGAGTAGAATGAATGTGAGGGACTGGTTGGGAGAAGAGTGGAATGGCCTCTTTTTGTAGAGCAAGTTCCCAATAGCTAGTTTCCCAATAGCTACTTTTCTAACAGCTACTTTCCAACTACTTTTACAACAGCTACTTTTTGAACAACTACTTTTGCACAGCTAATTTCCCAACAATTTTTTTGTTTGCAGATACATTAAATGCAGGTGAGCTAGTACCAACGTTTATATTTGATGGCAAAAGAACAGAATAAGGTAAGATTCTGATGCATTAACATTACATATTTGGATGAACACATTACAACAAATATGATAGGAATTCTAGCCTACATCACAACACATGATAGCAAATCTATCATGTGCAACATTTTCATCTGATAACCAGGTCTTCCTAGCCTTACCCTTTCCCTTTCGCTGCTTTCTGCCCTTGTGGTCGACGACGTTCAGTTGCCTCATCAGTGTCTCAATTTGAAGAAGTGTAAGCTCCAGAGGCAGACACCTTGGTTCTCTTATTCCTAATGTCAGCAGCCACATCTCGATGAAACTATTTGGGTTCATCCTTCACCACTTTCCACTAGAACTCAAATGGGAATGGCTTGTCAGTTTTCTTCACCCTTTTTTATTATGCATGAACCTTCTCCATTAGTTGCTCATCAGATTGGTCACTTTCATATGTGTTGCTTATTTCTATCCAACATCCATGGAACCTTGTGACAAGTGCATTGGTTGTATTGTAATGGTTCTTGCATTGTGTAGCTGTTCTTTTCCTATCCTTAGGAGCATGCTTGTTGTACTCGGCAGCAACTTCCTTCCAGTAATGAGCTCCCGCCTTTGAATTGCCATCAATTGGGTCATTTGAGTTGTTGATCCAAGCACTTAGCGGTCGCAGGTTGTCTTTTTCAGACCAATACATGCGCCCACCTTTTTTCCTCATCTAAACCAACATCACTCCATTCTTCAATCGTAATTGGATCTTTGTTTGTATTCTCTACAGGAGGTATTGGAGAGCTTACCGGTGAAGCTGAGCCCTCACATCTTGAACCATTCCCACCACCAACTCCAAACAATGATGCATAAGCAATCGGTGATGAAGGACCACCGGTCATATCCTTACCATGGAAAGGAATGTCATGTTGGTATCCTGAACTTGGGAGCTACTGGAAACTTGGAGGACCTCCAAATGGATGGAAACTTTGTGGGTAGAAGGGAGTTTGAAAGTTGGGACCAAACTGATATGGTGAAAAGTTCATGGAAAAAGGGGGTTGTAGGCCATGTTGTTGGTTGTTTGTGTTCTGTTGATCTGAACTTGCCATTGTAGAGTTCATCATATTTGTGAAACTAGGTCTGGATGAGTTCTACATATTTCAGGTGTAGTGTAATGATCAGTGTATGAATTGGCATGCATCCAAAGGTCTTATATATGTAGGAGGAAGCATGGACCAATGGCTCCTTGGCCAACGACCATGTGCCCTATAGACGTATTATTTTATTGAATAGGAGAAGGAATCGCAATGGTCATGTGTTGTCAATATTATTTTAATCGGCTGGGTTTGGATGGTATGCAAGGTTCGCTTTTAGTTTTGACACTAATGGTTCGCATGCTCTAGTGTCTATGGTTCAGCTCGGATGTCCCATGGTTTGCTTCCACCCCCAACACTGGAGGTGCTCCAAGCATTCAGTGTCCACAAAATTACCCATGCTGCCACTGTGTAATTGTGTTTGGCGAATGGTTTTTTAAAAAAAAGTTTTAACTGCTGTAGTAGAGGAGACTAATATGGTGGAGACAGAGCAATTTTGGTAGGAGCCAAAACCCTGACAAACTGACGCCGCCTGGGACTCCTTTTTTTCAAACATGCTCTTTGCACGGCATTCATTAAGCAGGAGTAGAAAAACTTAAAATACAAATGTTCAACAACAGTAATCAAAGGATTACTAAAGCCGCACGACCACTAGTCACCACACGAATGTGATTACAGGGAAAATATGCTGTGACCTAGGGAGCACGACAACATCACATAAGCGCCAGCAGCGGTAGCAGATGCCTGTATCCCGTCAGGCACCACTTATTCACCTCCTCCTGAATTAACAGTGCCAAATGACTTGGTGCAGCGGAAGTGCCATTGAAAGTCCTAGCATTCCGTTCCTTCCAAATGCTCCACCCGACGAGGAAGAAGAGGGAATCGAAGCCCTTGCCCAATTGCTTGTGCAACAGCTTCCTAGTTCTCAGCCACCAGTCCAACACTCTCTCCTCCTAAATGATCAGGACTTCCTATAGCAGAAGCTTAGACAGCAGAATGCTCCAAACTTCCTTGCTGAAGGGACAACCAAGGATGAGGTGGTCCATTGTTTCGGCATCTGATCATAGATGATGCATGCATTCGAATCCTAAAATCCATGCCGATGACGTCGCTCGCCGTCCAGCACCTACCGTGCATGACCAGCCAGAAGAAGAATCGCACCCACGGCGGCGCCGCCGCCTTCCATGTTTCCTTTGCGCCTAGTGGTCTCGAGGACCTGAGGAACATGGCCCCATAGGCCGATGCCGATGAGTAGGTTCTGTCCACCGTCAACCTCCAATGAAAGATGTCCGATGAACCTGGCACAAGCTGCACGTCCTGCAGTAATCGCCAGACCATCATGAATCCGGCGATCATCGGCATAGTGAAGGCTCCGGAGATGTGGCGCACCCACGCTCGACCAGGCAGCGCGTCACAGACAAGTGCGTTCTGCCGTCGTGCGAGCCACTGCCCTAAAAAGTTCTAGCGCCATTGCATGAATGCTCCTACCGTCGATCCCATTATCGGTTCAGAAGCGAGTTGACTCCCCCGAGCCAACGATGGACACGGTGGCTGCCGAGAAAATCGTGAGCACCAACTTCTCCTTATCTGGCAGTCCCAATGCGGTGTGATTCTGATCAACCCGCTGCCTCTAGGCCCAGCGAGTTCTGAGCGCAATACCCACCCTGCGTGGGTCCACCACGCCAAGCCCCCCTAGATCACGGGGCCTGTAGATGGTTGTCCAAGCAACTTTACACTTACCTCCACCGACCGTCTGGTCGCTGCCCCAGATGAAAGCACGGCGCAACTCGTTGATTTGCTACACTGCCCAAGGTGAAAGGCCGACCGTAATGGCCATATGCACCGAGATTGCTGAAAGAGTAGCTTTCACAAGTGCAGTCCGCCCTGCCACATTCATCAGGTTTCCTTTCCACTACGGAATTCTTGCGGCCTGGGACTCCTTGTAGCTTTGATTCCCTATAGTAGCTTAAGGAGCCGATGAAATAAAAAGAAAAAGGATTAGTCCACTTTTGCCCCTTCAACTATCATGTTGATCTAATTTTGACCCCCAACTACAAAACCGTCTAGTTCAGGAACATCAAGTTTGAAAACCATTCACTCTTGGCACCTAGACATGGTTGTGGTTGTTTCATGCTGACGTGTACCTGGTTTTGACCCACCATGCTGGCATTGACCGCCACGTAGACGCATGTAAGGGAGGGATAAAACCTATGTATAAAACCTAGCGCCAGCCGGCGTCCCCTACCCACCCCGGGCCCTGCCTCCCGCTCCAACCTCCACCCCGAGCCATGGCCATCCACCTCTCGGACGCCGACGTCGCGAGGTTCAAGCTCTTCGCCATGGTCATCCAACCCCCCGACGCGCATCACCGCCCCACGGACGAGGGGCGCGCCCCTCCGCCGACGATGGCGACGGTCCTTCCTCCTCCTCCTCCCCGCCTCCATCCCCGCCCATGGCACGTGCCGCACGATGGGTACTGCCACCAGCACCCAGCACCCGCCAGAATCAATCACTTGGGTCGGGTTACCCATACCAGAAAGGGTAGAAAATTCATTCCATACCATGCGGCGGGTAATTTCTTACCCGACGGGTAACCCGCACCCAACAATATACCCGAGTTCACACACCAAAATATAATACTTCAAAGACAAAACAAATCAACAATAGAGGCCAAAATGAAATATAGTCAAGCTAGTTGAAATAGATCAGATGCCTCATTGGTTCATTCCAAATATGCTTATATGGGGATTAGGGTTTGAGGGAGTTCTTGCGCCGCCTCATATGCTTATATGGGTTATATGCTTATGGACTAAAATTACAGAGGTTGGATATTATTTATGTGAGTTTTTTTTAGGCGGATATGTGGGTATGGGTACTCATCACAGCTCCATCTTCCTCTCGCTCTGGGCCATGAATTCATCCCTCCTTCTCTCCCGTTCCTCCTCCTCCTCCTCCACTATACCTGCCTCCCTCTCTCGGGTAAAACCCGTTGGGTAAGACCGCATGGAGCCGTTGCCATTTTGAATCCTCACCGAGCCGTGGCCATGAGCCGTCATCACACCGCACCACTGCTCGCTCGCCCACACCGCCTTCCCATCTCCTCTCTGCTCCCTCTTCTCTCTATAATCCTGGCGCTCCATGAACGTGTGGTCGCTTCGCTCCATCTCGGCCACCCCTACACGCGCCGCCCTGCGCCCTCCTTCCTCGACTCCCTTTCTCTCTCTCTCTCTCTCTCTCTCTCTCTCTTCTTTCCCTCTCTTCTTGGCCCTCTCTCCTTCCCTTGCTCGGTGCTCGGGTGGATGGGGGCAAGCCCTCCCCGCCTCACTCACGACGAGCTCCATGACGTCGGAGTCCACCTCGACGACCGGCCTGCGCATCGCCGCCGCTAACGCCGCCTCCTCCTCCTCCTCTCTTGCCGCCCTCCTCCACTCTCCTCGGGCGGCGCCTCCATGTCTCGCAGAAGCGTGCATGTCGCGCCGCATCATCCGCATAGTACGCCAGCAGAGTCATCGGCGACGCGGGAACCGCTCCGAGGCAAGGTGATGTCATCGAGCCCAGCGCGATGGGTGGCCCCACATGTCGCCGAGATGCGCCATCGTCCACGTGGCTGTCAACGCTTGCGTGGCGTGGTCAAAACCGCTCAACGTCGGTCAAAACAGCCTTAACCCCGCCCATGTGCTAAAAGTGAATGGTTTTGACAGTTGGGATACCGGTCCTAGACGATTTTGTAGTTATGGGTCAAAACTAGATCAACACAAGAGTTGAGGCGCCAAAAGTGGACTTAATCCAAAGAAAAAAAGAAAGAAATCTATCTCTCTCTCTGTGTTTTAGCAACAAAAAACACATGAATATTTTAGCACAAAAACACACCGCCAATGCTCGAAGGCATGGGTGGATGAAGTTCAAATCATGCCCGCCGTGGTCCCGGTGGTGGCGCGCGATCGTCGTGGCGGCTCGGCGCCGCGTAACATTGGGCTACCCGGCCGCCCGACAGCTGCGGCGACGTGACGTGACTGCACCGCGCTCCCATTCGGCATCGGGGCTGGCTGCCACTGGACTTCTGGAGCACCCGTCGTTCAACCTCTCCGCTTCACCACCGACGCCGGGGGCCATGCTTGCTCCTCACCGCAACGGCGGCGGAGGGGCAGAGATCGTGAAGAGCATCTCGCTTGACGCCTCCACCGTGCTCGTGCTCGGCAGCTTCTTCACATACGTCCCTCCCGAGGACCATTGCCCGGGCATCCAGTTCTCTTGCCTTACTAGCTACGGGAATGGGTGCTAGTGTCCGGCGTGATGAAGGTGCCGAACGAGATGAGTGCCGGGGACGCGACATGCCCGCACGAAATAGGCACCACTGAGTGCCATAGCACTCACTCACAGCACCTGCCATGATACCACAGCCGACCACATTAACATGGTAGGCAATGGAACAAACCGCTTTGTAATTTGTCCTTCTATAAAAAAAATGTTTTATATGATATGTGATCTATGATATGTGGATCTGTAATCTTGTGATTGTCTGAAGGTAGAAGAAGGCTAGAGGTGGAAGAAGGGTGGAGGCCGTTAGATCTTAATCTTATGGTGCAAAAAAAATAATGTATTGAAATTGCATAAAACACATGGTTGTCCAGTAGACAGACTCAAAAAAAAAAGTTGCTTTACCGGCTTCTATTTCATTTGAGGGAGGTGAGAGAAATGACTTATCCTACAGTGCAGTGTTGTGACAAGAGAAGTTCGAGCAGGAAGAGTTCTTCCTACTCTTCCAAAAGAGAACCTAAAGTGTGTGCTACTTTTGAACTCTTCCAAAA